CATAGAGCTTGTCCCTGTGTCGGGAGCAGGGATCCCCGTCGCGAAGATCCTAGCTGGCAGGGACCTTCTCCAGCCGGGAGCCGCTTGGTCCTCGGGAGTGGTCCGCCCATCTGTACGGTACGGGGCGCAGGTAGAGCGTGGTGGTCCGATGAGCTAGGTGGTACAAGGGCTCATGGAAAAAGGGTGGCCATGATCGCGACGTTTCTTACGACTCATAGATTGAACAACACAGAAAATGAAAGATCCGCCACAATAAGTCATTAGATTACTTCATAGATAGAGTCAGGCAAATGTAGTGCAACTGCTAAGATTAGTGGGGCTGAAGAATATTTTAAAAACTTCAAATCTGTTTTCCTCAGCTAAGATAGGACAACAGACTTGCAATTAATTCGTCACCCTCGACCTCTTCGTTATCGTATGATATTTTGGGTCCGTCACACATAGCGATCGGGATTTACCATTACTAGTCACTCCCTCGGAATAACTCCTTCATTGCGTGATTTTGCTCCCTCTCCTTCATTCGGGCCAGTTGACAAGCAAACAGCACAGACACACTAAAGTACTGCTTATAGCAGGTTAAGTTCTCAAAATCCTGTTCCAGAATGGAGTCTACTGGACCGTCTACCATGTTTTACTCGCTATGTTATTTGTTACACTTTGCCCGTGTCTGCTTTTATCGGCTTTCACTCTTCGAATTTCTTTGGCATTACGAGCGGCAGTCACAAAGAGGCACTCAATGTGTGCCCCAAGTGCCGACGTGGATTCACGGAACCGAAAAGGTTTAGCTACGAAGTAAGTCTCGAACACGTAAGTTCGTCTCTTCCATAGAATTAACCCTCTGACGACAATGGCACCCACCGGTGGTTGCCACTATGACTGGCTCACGGAACATTGGCACCAAATTTTGTGTGCCACCATACCTTCTTGTTTCTTACCAATTGCTAAATACAGTAAGCCGGTGAAAGATTTTTCTCCTGGGACAGTGCCTCCCACCGGTGGGTGGCAGTCGCGCGCGAAAGGAGGAGCGCGTCACGTCGAAATCCGCATTGTCGTCAATGGGTTAACTATTTTGACTGCTGATTCAGGAAAGAACACAAGTCGAACATAATGCTTGTTCTTGTGATCGCAAAATTCCTGGTGTCTGATATACTGCCAACTGTGATTGATGTTTTGGAACACGTAAGTTTAGCTATTTTATCAACCAACGACCTGCACGAAGGTTTAGACAGGATCTTCTCTGTAAGGGCGAAATATTATGCAAAAAATGCAAAGACACAGAAATGGGCACGGGCATGTTAACCTCCCACTCCATTCATAATATTTGGTTGTGCGGGAAACGTATGCCGGGAATTTCACAGTAGTCAGGAGATTTTAGAGTTCCACTAGTCGCACTGGTTTACTAGTGATTTTTCAATATGCTCGATGATATAAACCCATTTGCAGTCGGTCTTTCTGATAGTTTTTATAAACGTTCGCCGATGTATAAAACACTGTTATTCAGATCGTTGGACAGAGCGCCTTTATGCAAAGCCCATTAGCGTCATTGTTCGTTGATTTGTCCAATTTTCTCATTGTGCTGAACTGTTCATCGAATTTCTGGGTGTTCGTAATCTGGGGGAAACGATTTCGGAGGTCATGTCGGCACGTACTGCTTTCCTGCGAAATTGGGGAGTCTATATATAGGCTTGGAAAGGTCACATCAGACCCGGTGAGTGACTTCCGCTTCAGTCATCGAATACTTCTATAAATTGTTTGTTTTGAAATTAAGTGGAGTTATTACAAAACGTCCTTTCTCACCCGTCTGTTATTCCTCCTTTTCAAATGTTAGTTTTCCTAATATTAAAATTTCCATCCTCATAATGGTGGACTACCTCTCACAGGAGAGACATGATGTCTATCTCTTCCTCTTTTTCTCTTTTTCTTATGCACTTGGGCCCAGCGAACTCAGTCGTAGCTCTTATTTGATACAAATGTTTACGTGAGGGGCTTCGAAGGCAACTAATTAGAGAACCTGAGGTTGGTACTTGAAACGTTGGTGACAGGATGCCAAGCGTTTTCACCTTGACTTACGTCAGCGTAATGACTCTATATGTTTTACAGGACATCGTTACTTGTTGTGGGCAATCTTCGCTAACTACAATGCAAAATACGAAAATATATGGAAGCGATGGCAAGTCAAGAAAATTATTTCGAGATAGTGAAGCAGACAGGCAAGGTTTCAATAATTTTCATTTAATTAATAGATCCGTAATCTAAGGAAGTGACGGGTATAAAGTGGCAGCTGAAGTCCATTCGGAATTTCGTTACGTGTAGCATCGTCAGTGATTGCAAACACCCTACACCAATGAACTATTTATTTAGTAAATAAGGCGTGGAAGTAATAACTACTGACTCGTGCTTGGACTACTGCATTGAATGCACACACCGGCAAGTATAAGACCATTTCAGGAACCGGCAAATAAGAGTCTCGAATTACTCAGCCCAGGGTGGATCAGCTATTTCAGAGAAATCTGCTTACAAATCCATATCAGAAGACTGCAGAGCAACATGGGAATATGAGAATCTGTCACAGTTAGAAGAAGTAGACGAACAGAAGCTTATCCGATAGGAGAAGTATTACGAAAAACTCACATGCAAAATTCTGGTGCTTAGATAATCTCTTTATACGCGGCATGTCAAGCTTACTAGATTACGCTCAACAATATCCTAGTCATTCTTACTACGGTTTTTCCTGGAAACTAAGCCTTTTCTGAACTATTCCTTACCTTCCATTCATCGTGATTTCAATTTTTCCACTTATAGCTGTGAATATACATGCTTCAACGTACTCTATTAATATACCTTTTACTTTTCTTAATCACTGTCACCAAATTCATTTCAGACATCGATGAATTTTACAACGGACAATAAACGTTCATCTACCTATTTATATTACCGTATATAGCTACCATACTTGAGGTCTTCGGGGGCGGTGAATCTCTCATCTTAATGATTCTGCTGCGGCGATCAAACCAGACCTACTGATTGACAGTTCCGCATGCAAAAATTTTGGCCACCACACTCACCCTACTTAGTATCGAAAACTTCAATCATTCCATACAAAGCTTCACTTCCCTATAAACGCCTCTATCTGAGCTTACCATGGGCACTTCGGGAATTGTCTTTGTATAAGTGGCAAAGAGCACCTACTGTTGTATCTTGTAACCGCTTGATAAAGTACGTAAAAAAAATTTGGAAGGTACAATGTCAGAGACAACAGCTGTTGGTCAACCTTCATACAAATCATTCGTAGACAACTCTAATGACAAGAGATCACTAGGAAACATAAAAACGTGATGCCACAAAATATCCATTTCAGGCATGTAAGTGGCAAGGTCTATCTCCGTGAGACTAAACAAACAAACTGATGGCTATCGCATCTTTGTAGCATGATTCAAAATTGCTCACCTTATTACATTCAAATCGTTTCTTTACACGATGTGAATCCCATTGCTCGACTTCAGCAGTGCACAACCCAACCAAAGAGCAGGGGATCTTTTCCCGACGTGAGAAGTCGTATAAGAGACCACGGGCCTCAAATTGTTTACAGCACATAATCGTAAGCAGTTTATCGCTAAGCGGCGGAAAACTTTAAGAGAGGCTCACTGCGAAAATATCACGAAATGTTTGCGATAATGATGATTTTGTGCCATACGAGGCTTTTAGGTGGAACAATTCATCAAGCCAACTGCCGAACGTTTTGACGCAATCGTGGTCTTCCCAATTCGAAATGATTTGCAGGTCATCCAGCAATGGTCCTATCCCCACTAGCAAACGTGACGACTAATTCAAATTTGATAATTCGAAATACGACTGAACAAAGTTCTACCGCTCAAGCAAAGTAGTTCATTGTTGTCACATGTTGGGGTCAGTAGCGAATGAGAATTCCTGCTCCCTCCTTTGTACTCATGATAAGAAGACCGCGTTATAGTGCTATTAATCACAACTCACAGTGCGGTATGTATGTTGGAAATTCGTTTGTTACGGACGGACCCTCATCTTTAATGTCAATTTTGGGATTTGTTAGGAAAATTAGAACGCCTTTAATGCTTTTCTCGCTGAAATTCGTTTCCCGCCTTGAAGTTGCGCATATTATTTCAAAATTGTTGCTATTGTGCTACTCTATTTTATGCCTCCGAAGCATGTCATCAGCTGCAGCGCTTAGTATTAGCTGGGGGTTGGTTAATCGCTCCACTAGTTGCCTTCTTGCTTCTCCGATGTATACTGATCCATATATCCGGCATTCTAACTGGTATATTAAATTACGCCTAGCTCCGCATGACTACTACTGAATGTTTCGGAGTCATTTGGAGAGTTAACTCCATATCCTATTTCCGCATGATTCATTGGACAAAACAACCTACCTTTTTGAGGACCAATCTTCCATCCATGTGCATTGCCAACGATGAAAAATAAAGGAGGATCTCGTCGTGCGGTAATCTTTGCGCAATCACGTCATCACCGTAAATGGATACGATAGCACAACAGACAAACAGATGGAAGAAATTTGTACGATACTGCGCCCAGCAAGCCTGCAGAATATTTTTGTCGTTGTCGTTTGTTGTCCTACACTTTTAATGAATAACTTATAAGGAGAAGCTGGATCAACAATCCGAATATGTATGTACAGGTGAGGCTGTAGAACCGCAAGGTCCTAAATATTGAAAAAAACACACACAGAGAAACAGTTTTTAGGCATATATTGCAACAAATTGCAAGAGCATATCCAAACTTTCCAATCCTGTAGTGTTGAGGACGAAAACCTTGGACTCGAGACGTTCCCATAGAAAGTAATCGCTATAGTTCGGGCGATCGTGTAGTTTGAATATCTCCATTCCTACTGATCAAAGGCTTCGGAAATTACTCAAAATTCTCGAAAGGTCCAGTAACGCTCTGGCTGTATAACTTATTTCAGTGTTAGACTTATGTGTCGTATTGAATGTTCGTTTTTGTTAGGGTCGCCGCCTCGCTACTTCCTACACTGCACACCCCTCCACTCTTCAACTTTGTGAATCGTGCGCATTGATTGATCCACTCCCAAAAAATAATCGTTTTCTTTAGATTGTGGCAATATATGACTGAAATTTGTTTCTGCATTTTTTCAAACCTACTGTTAAAACCGTGCGTTTTGACCACCCCACCTTACACTCCAGAATATTGGTATCTCTGGGCTTCATTCAGACTTGAGCTTACACTTGAGCATGAGATGTTCCGTACGAACCCTAGCTAGGAAGATCATGAGAGTGCGAGAAATACAGGGTGGGCTAAAGTTGTGATGACAGTGCGCGCTGACGCTCATACCAACTTTTTTCTGAGTTATATCATATCAACCGGTTTCTTCCATTTCGCGAGAAAGATTACATTATTTTCTTTCTAGTGATACCAAACTTTTGTCAGATTTTAAAAATAATCTAAATCTTCTCTACCCCGTGAGTAGATTATCGCTTGCATTTACAAGTACATTCGAATTATTATCCGAAAAAAGGCGAAAAAGACGCGGGTTCACGTCTTTTCCGTCTTTCCTCTATAACTTGGTTAGTTTCGACTTTTTCGAATATAATATTACATAGTTCAACTCAGCTCGACGAGCTCTATACAATGGTTTACTGAAAAACTGAAAAAGTTGAAGTTTGAAGTCCTCGGTCCAACAAAAGTTCAAAGTTCTTGGGGGCACGTCATTAGCAGAGATGCTCGCTATAATTATAACCAGAAGGCATTCCCTCCTACTAAAAGTGTTCAGGGAATTGTGGAGCGGCCATCATATTCAAAGACTTAACAAAAAGTAGAACTTTGCATTTCTGATGTTTTAGTGATCGTTTTGATACCTATTTTTTACAAAACGGGCGAATTTGGTTATGCACCAAACTTAAGCGGGAGCGGCTTTTCAAAGAGAAAAATAGTAACTCTGAGCTGAACCCTAGTGTCAGTGAATGATGTGCCTGTACTTCACAAGCTCACAAGCCGCTCTTTTCTGTAGTTTGCAAGTTGTACGTCTGAATTCAAGAAGAAAAGCGATTTCATCATCCAAATCCAGATGCGGCATATTTTGACGGAGAACGTAAGTTCTCTTGCTTGTTCAATTGGCATTTACGATGCTCAGAAGGATGTTGCGCACTACACCAAAGAAACGCAAACGGACCTCTTGGAGCACATTCATGGTTTGTAAGGAATAGTTAATTGTTCTGAAACCCTTCCTTCATTTGAGCTTCTGAAATCACTCCAATGCCCTCGAGACTAGATCGCAATATATTTGCTTGAAGGGAAATGTTGAAAACTTACATAAGTTGACTCCACTTTGAAAATGTTACTTGGCAATGAGAAAATCATTTCCCAAAATTCACTTCGAATCAACACTTCACCACCCATTTTCTACACTGCTCATTCACTCAACCACCCTAATCGATCCCTGCTTGCCTTCGCTATTGCTCCATCCTTCCATTAGGTCACACCCTATGTCGCACATCTTTATATGTAACTGGCATGAGAGGCGTGATGCTATCAGGAGTACACTTTAATTATGAAGTTTTATTTCAGCTTTTCAACCGATTGTATCATCTGTACTCTTTCAGAGTTGAAAACCCACATCAAGTACAAGACACTTTGCCCTCCAGTCCCATTGGAAATGGGGGACATTACCACTAAAAACCGACCAACTTAGAACAGAGAAGCGCACATCGTTGGGCAACGACATCTGTTAGCCATTTGCAAACGTTGTGCACGACGGGGATCCGATTTCCATCGAACCCCGAGTCGGGTGCAGACGTGAAGCGAAAGCACTCCCTCTGCGCCAATTGGCCGGTTGAACTTGGGAGAACATGTATATGTAATATTTTACGAAGAAATGTAGTTTCAAGTTACAACTTTTAATATAACACAGATTTTTTGAAGTGTTTGAATGTTGTCGTGTACGCAACAAGAACTTACAATATTGATTATTTGCATCATTTTCATGCTCATTCATAAAACAGGATAGCGGCTGCATTTGAATGTGTAGGTTGTAAATCAGTTTATGACTGCGGCACCATCAGTAGGTGAGCTATATTCGAGGTGCCAAGAAACTCCTTCGGTAACTACTGTAGGAGCCACTAAGGTCGGGAAACAATGCCTGGTAACCTGGTATCTGTTCAAGGTGCTGTAACCAGCTTCTGTAGAAGGACGGTGCGTCAACCGACTCACAGCAATGTACAAGGGGAAAACGAAATGAAACAGTTGATGGTTGAAACGCATATAGAAGCTGTACACATTCAATCAGAAGTGCAAATTCATAAGAATGTTCGATTATGGCACACATCAAAGCAAGCGAACAATCAATCAATATGCTGCCTCGGCCGCTCGGGCCACATAACTAATTGGGTGGCCGAGTAAAGAAGTAAGGTAGAAAATTGGTGCCACAGGTGCTAGTCCAAAGTGAAATTCGGTAAGTGATTTTCATTCCACTGAGTAGCTGTTTAAGAATGAGATTTAACAGTGTAGGTTTTCAGATGCTTACTTCCTATGAAAAAATGTTATTCATTCGTTTGTTCTTTGGTGCGAGATCGGGAACTATTCACGAAACCCGAGGACCCAGCAACTAACTATTTCTCACATATGTGATTGTTCACAAGCAGACCAGTACGAATACTTTCGATGAAAGGCGTAGCTTTCCCCTGAACCTCGAAAATCTTGCCTAAAAGAGCAGGAAAACTTACGACCTAGGTCAAAATATGAGGCAAGCCGGGATTTAGACGATGAAATCGCTTTCCTTTTTGAACTCAGACGTACAATTTGCATACTACAAAAAGAGCTGCTTGTGAAGTACAGGCACATCATTCACTGACATTAGGGATTAGCTCAGAGTTGCTATTTTTCACTTTGAAAAGCCGCTCCCGCTTAAGTTTGGTGCATAACCAAATTTGTCCGTTCTGGAAAAAAATAGGTATCAAAATGATTAGCAAAACATGAGAAATGCATAGGTCTACTTTTCATTCAGTTTTTGAATATGATGGCCGATCCACACCTCCCTGAACACTTTCAGTAGGAGGGAATGTCTTCTGATTATAATTATAGCGAGCGTCGCTGTTAATGATGTGCCCCGAAGAACTGGAAAAACTGGAACTGGAAATGGACCGAGGACTTCAAGCTTCAACTTTTTCATCACTGTGTTTATTTTCTTGAAACCTTCACGAGGTTTGTAAATGAGCTTTATTAGGCTGACATTTCGGCGGGGTTGCCTTCTTCAGAGCCTGAAATGACCGTTTCAATTTGTGACTATCCGATCAAACGTCTCCACTGCCCTACTGAAGTTCGAGACCCCCAGAGCGCCCATGTGATGAAAAGAGAACCACTTACCGTAGCTTTTAAATTCCTCGAAACCACCCACAACCGCTGATACCAATCGACTAGTGTCAGCTGGGGTAGGTCTTCAATCAAAGTCGTTGCGAGAAGGCCAACTTTCCGCAGCTCCCGCGTGATTGCGAGGCATTCTTCCCTACGATTCATTTTTGGATCGGTGACTTGTATCCAAAATGCCTCGAGGGTTTTACGCGCGCATAGTTGCGACTCCTGTGCCACGACCTACACGGGACATCTACAGACACTGTAGAATGGCAGCGAATATATCTTTCCAAAAGATGCTTTCAAGAGTTGGGATTAACTGCATATCGAAGGGATGAACATAAGGGGCCTACGGTTACATTTATTGTTAAGAAAGCAGAGTGAAGGTCTGTTTAGCAGTGAAGTTTACTCTGAGTCCAAAATGGCTGAATGAATGAATATCTCATGGAGTTGTCTGCTCAACATTGTGAAGCAGCATCTGCACAACAAAGCCCTTATACGATTCATAAAGTGATTTCCCGAGTGGGCAGCGTAAAGAGAAGAGAAAGGCTGGCTCTCAAAAGCTGCCCCGCGGTATCCAACAAAATCGTACGAAAATCGTGTTCAGCGAAAAAGATATTCAAGGTGAAGAAGGTGCTCAATAAGCAGAGCACCAAGATTTGTATGAAGCAGAAAGGAATGGAAGTGATGCAGCGCTAGGCTCACTGACTTTCTGCGATGACCTCTGCGAGCATCACACCGCCGAGGCAAAAAACCGAATATGTTTGTAAATTAAGGGATGAAAGTGGATTTGAAGGTTTGTTTGATCTCACCGTGCGCTGTAGGACACTTCGGTGATTCAAATTAGACATATTGTCAGGTGAAGCTCTTGATTGCAGATCAGAAATCGTCCAAAAATTTCGTAAAAGGACTTTCTCAACTTTATAACCTCCGATCAGTTCACTCAGGAGCCCTGATTCAGATCTCATGGACTTCTCAGTGTGGTCAACATTGGAAACAAAAGCAATTGTAAGCTCAAACAAGAAATGAGATAATTTCGAGAATGCTTTGCCGAAAGAAGGGATCCACTCGCTGACCTTAGCTGCATGCCATCGTCGACGCCGTCCATCGTCGTCTCTGGGGTTGGGTGAAAGCAGAAAGCAACAGACTCAGTACCAAGGTACTATTTCGACATAAGATTAGTGAAAAATACCTTTTCGGAATTAGTTTGTTATATTGGCTTTTCATTCATTTTCTGTGTAATCATAATTTTGGCCCACCCTGTACATTGCATCAAGCCGAAAATCAATGGCTGCTTTCATAGTCCGCCGGCGTACCGGCGTGCCGGCNTCCGCCGGCACGCCGGCCGGTGGACTATGAAAGCAGCCAATGCGATAGGAGATGCGGGACCTCGGGAGACTGATTGAACGATAGAACTTTGTCGCATCAGCATAATTGATAGGGACGATCATTGTTCCAAGCTCCCCATCGATGGGTCTGAGGGGCAGCCGCCCTTGTTCTATCAGTTCAATGAACCAACTCTATTCCCTCTAAACAGCTACCATAGTTCAATAATCGCCTTATCGCACTCTGGACAGAAAATGAGGTCCGTAGAGCAATGAGAAAGATGAAGGGTAGAAAAGCGACCGGTCCGGATCGGATATCAATTGAGACATGAAAAACGCTCGGAAAACACGGAACTGAAATCCCAGATGCGTTTAAGAGCAGTACCATTGCGCTTGGCAATCACCAGCCGCTTGTGAAGCTAAGACTAACACTTACTTCCCAAATGTGAAGTGCATCGGCTTCAGGAAACTCCCGCTTGAAAATTAAAAGGATCCATCTATGTACAAACATTAACTGTAAAGCATCTCCTTTTTGTGCTGCGAGATAATTGTAAAAAGTGGGCTGTAGTAGCTTCAGTAGTTCACGGAGGTACTCCTGCAACAATACATATTCGAGAATACTAGCTTGAAGTAACCTTCACATTGACTGTTTGAACCTGAAGCAGAACAATGCGGCTCTTAAACTTTACCTTGTTTCCACTTTAAGCAACTTACAAGCACTATCAGGACCTTATGGTACGAAAAAAGTGGACGCAAGGGTCCAAGGGGATTAAAATTGCAAGGGAAGTAAAATGAGTGGTTGGTCCGTGCCAGCGACAGTTCAGTGGTTTTGGTGAGTCAAAAAGTTATTCAAGTAAATAACATAAGGAAAGCTTACCAGATTTATCTCCATGAGTCCTTCATTTCCTTTGGGAGAACATGAGAATACTGTTTGTTGCATAAGTCCTGTGAAACACCAGTAGGTGTCGGCCTCGTCTCTGCAACGTGGGCTATCATTGAAAGATTCTGACCCATTATCTATTTATCAATACAATCAAAGGAGACAATATGGAGGGAAACCGCAAATCCCGCAACTTTTCGTGTCACTCTACCTGATGGTGCTCAACAAAGGTGCCAGTAAGTCAGACATTCCTTGGATATAGTTCACATGCGGATATGCGGTAGCGTAATTCAAAAGGATGTTCCTTGAAAAGAGGGATTAATAACGTTTTTACGATATCCATTAATATCAGCTGAAAAGCAAAATAAGCATAATTGCAATAGCAGAATCGGTACTACTTACTTCATAGTCTCAATATTGGGATTGCCTTCCCCCGAATAATAGGGATTCTTTCTATCGGTTCGAACAACATCTTTCAGAATCGTATTCTCGACAGCACTCCAATGCTGCTTAGAAGAAGCCGACTTCTTTTCCCTTTAAATTAGAAAACTAGTGTTTTAGCGGACTGTACAAAAGAGAAGCTATGAGTGGGAGACGGAAGCAATACGTTCACAAATCACTCATTACGTCTTTTTGCGGAGATTCTGATACTCTAGGAACAGATCGTTTCGAATGATTTCCCTTTGCTCCATAGTAGACTGCCATGGATAGATGCGTAACAGGAATGGCCAAATCTCTTTCCGAAGTCCAGGCTCCATGGATGCGAAGAAAACCGCCTGAAATAATTAAATCCTGGGATTGTGGCAGTCTTCAGTGCATGAAGATGGACGAGCCCTGCTCCTACGCTTCAAGAGAGGAACGCAGAGTTAGCGCAGAGTATTTTCAAGTCATAGGTACTACCAAATATGTAGAAAGAACCATACCATCATCAAATTGGTCCCTCACGAATAAAGTCATACTGCAAGGCAAATTCAATATACTGGTCAGGGGGAAAGATTTTTGAGTTCTTACATGTTTTCCCACGCTGGATAAGCGTGACTAACTACATGTAAGAGCCACGTACATTTATACAAGCTTCACATCGGAGCCAGGCAAGCAACTCGTGGGTAGCGTACACCAAAACAGTGACATGAATTGGCTTCATTGGGATGAACCTCAAGAAGCCCCCGCAATAGCAGCATTGGGTAAGACAGCCGGCAAGGGTGCCAGAATCGTAGGGGCATAATAGGCTATACGAACGAAAAAAGATCAAGGGTGCGATCTGCACTTTGAGCACATGCATCGAAAGCGTATATCGAAGATAGGAAAACCTGTGTTGGGAAANAAATTAAATACATACGCCACTGGACTGAACGAACAGTTGAATGTTCGTTGCACGCCTCTTGCATATTGGGAAAGAAGTGTTTCTTAGGATATGCGACTTTTGATCAAGTGTTCCATGTGGACCTGAAGACCGAGTCTGGGAAGAGCATAGGCGATGCCGTCGGAGTCTCGCCAGTTGCAAGACCTTGGTGACGTGCCGTCGACTCAGTGTAATAGTCGCTAAGTCCCTAACTGCAATGAAAAAAGTCCTTTTAGACTTCTATTTCGATTTTAACGTCAGTCAGTCAGTGCCGGTCTAGCCACTATCCAACCCGCAATAGAAATGTGGCCCCCTTTTTCTCCGACTTGCCTCACGTCGACGAATGCTGTGCAGCGCTCGATCCCAATGTTGTTGAATCAGCCATCTTTACCGGCTTTTCGCGTGGTTCCCATCTTATGCAATGTTCTCTTTTCGAGGAAAGCTGTCTAAGCTAACAACTCTAACAGTAATGACAGAACACTGGATGATGGTAATGCGAGCAATAACGTTGCCACAAGACTCATAAGTGCTGCTGGAGTGCACAAGGTATTGCAGTGCGTCAAACGTTTGTCAATTTGAGGAGGGTTTTGGCCTAATGAGTTGATACTGTAGTCCTATTAATGGGCGATCAAGATGCTGCTACTTAATATAAAGATGCTTCGGAAGCTTGTCAAAAACTTCATGGCTCACCAGCCTACTTGAGAACGAGTGAAAGTCGACGATGACAACTACACGCTACCTTATCGCAGACAAAATTGCTTTATGCTGTTGAGTTCAGTAGCTAGTAGAATCATTGAATTGCAGCCGGATCTAACCAGGACGAGGTTTCTGAGAAACTGACTCAATTCTGATGCACCTTTCATCTCAAGGGAGAGTAAACCTCTGATAGCTCCAACTACACGTACTAGTGTTGAGAAGTCTAGATGATTAATAACCCAGCTTTAGAGCCGACTTGCAGGAATCGGGCAGCATAGAATCAGAACATTAGATAAAAAGTGCGAATGATGATAAACACTCAGATTTTCACACATATGTCGGCCCTGTTGTCCTTGATGGGATATGGTGACTTCTCCCCGAAAATCGCGTCGCCCTTACCGCAGCCGATTGCGCGCAGTCGCACTTCAAAAAGGGAAAGAATGGAAATGTACGATAGTCGCCGCACTGCCACTTGCGGTGGGAATTTGGTAGAAGTACGCATCCGTCCGTACTTCATGTCTCGACGTACGCCTTAAACACTAGAACTCTTTAAAGGCGCAGTGTACGATAAAAATGGTCTCTGAGATTCCCCCACAGGATGAATTTGAGGCCGCCGCTCATACCATATCTGGTACTATTAGGTCGGAAAACGGCCTAGTTAGGGAGTTATAAAGGCACAAAGATTGGCCCGTGTGTATCCTCGGACGAGTCCCACCGGCATTGTAGAGGCTGCCTCGATCGCAGGGGAACCCATGTAGGAAGTTCAAACAACTTGTATGACACAAACGGTGAAAGGCAGTTCTTTACAGTTCTGGCTTGATGTAGTTAGCTCTTCGCACAGTTGCAATAACTGAAATCTCGTCCGAATACCACTATTTTCGCTACTTTTGAGAGGTATAATTTTCTCAAAATCTCGAATTCTCTCGCTTGCTTCACTATCGATGACCTATTCCTAATCTATAGTTTCGCTCTTCGAATAGAAACGGGTACTCCAAAATAATCATGAACTGTGCCTTCAAGACAGAATGGTCAATATTGCGTTTGTCAAAACTAACGCTAACTTCGCCATCGGTCAAATGGTCAGACGGTTTCAGAAAATGGCTCAACCGAAGGTATGGCTTATTAGGCTCGCTGGACTGCAATATACTGATTCGCAACAGTCACAATGAATACATTAACGGCGCCTGAATAATAAAGAGTGGCAGGACGGCACGTAAGAAGAAAGTTCGACTCGTTACTAAGCATTCTGAAAATTGGAGGAATGATGTGACGTACGAAAGTGATTGCTTTGAATTTCATTAGTATTCGATTCATTAGAAACAGAGCCGCTGAAGCCTATTTAACACGTTGACGACGAGAGCGTTATTCGTCATTTGAAGGCGCTGACTAATCGTCGGTTACCATTGGCGGACCTCGTCCCACGGGACAGACACCTATTGAACTTGTTGTATTCATGAGTAAGAAGATTCTATTTGTGTAAAACAAGTAAAAACTCCTGGAAACAAACGAAAAACTTGTTTTCTGTCAAGATTTGGGTGAATTCTCCAAAAACATGGGCTTTGTAGACCATTTCGGTGTATGAGGCTTCGAATCGTGAACAATCATAGAAAGCACTATTTACACGTTTGGCGGGAACAAGATTAGAGGTAAGGCGCCAATTGTTGGAAGGAGTTAAAATTTTAGTTGTTATCTGATATGATGTATGACTCCTGACTCGATACTTAATATTTCCATAAAAACCTTAGATTTAGATGGATCATGGGCCGACGCTAAAGTTAGTGAGTAGATAAGCAAATGTAAAATATGAAACAAAAAACTGATGAATTTCTTCATTTGACTGACTTACAGTACTGTCGGTCACCATTGACCGACATCGTCGTCGTGTTAAACAGTGATATATGTATTGGTTTTCAGAGAAGAACCGTTCTAGCCATTCACTTAACCCAGGAACAAATCAAAGTCTCGTAACACACCTTTCTTATAGTATTGCTATCGGCAATGATCCCATCGCAATTCTTGTAGCTTTTCCAGTAATCCCACGTTACCATATCGTATAACCCGTCCTCTGGATCTAATTCATCTCTCCCCAATGTTGGCTGACAAATGAGTAGATGCTTGTCGTTTAAAGGTGATGGCGATCCCTAAAAGCAAGAATTAATATGGATTAAAGAACATAGTGCATACAGTAGCGATCAAAAGTCTTCGGTGAAACGCTTTTTCAATTGTAACTTCTTTCCTACCATAAAATCACATAAAAATCAAGTATGTTAATCAAAGGCATATTATGAATACTTACCGCTATTAAACTGCAGTTTGCTATTGTTCACGTTACGTTAGTGAAATTTAACTCAAATTCGGCGGGAAATACAGATAGCATCGACCTAACGAAAACCGGTTACAGGACCGTTGTCAACCGCGTGTGTAGTGACTCAGCGTTTTTGTCGTTTTCTCTGCGTCTCCCCAAATGGGCATCTCAGTGCGAAGAGGATAGAGGGCAGACGAAAGAGCTCGCCATACCTCAATGCCTCCTATTACCAGTAATACAATGGGATACCTAGCGAAAAGATTGAATCAATGGTGTTACAGATCTACAAACGATATTGTCGATCTCAGCGCTGATTCCCATAAAAGCAAAGTAGCAAATAGGTTGCAAACTTGGGTTTTCTACAAGCTACACAGATTTTCCTCGGTGTAGATGTTCTATGCAAATGTTTTATTAATATTTGGACAAAGAACAAGCCTTTCCTTTTCTCAGACTACCTGAACTTTGANCGAAGAGGATAGAGGGCAGACGAAAGAGCTCGCCATACCTCAATGCCTCCTATTACCAGTAATACAATGGGATACCTAGCGAAAAGATTGAATCAATGGTGTTACAGATCTACAAACGATATTGTCGATCTCAGCGCTGATTCCCATAAAAGCAAAGTAGCAAATAGGTTGCAAACTTGGGTTTTCTACAAGCTACACAGATTTTCCTCGGTGTAGATGTTCTATGCAAATGTTTTATTAATATTTGGACAAAGAACAAGCCTTTCCTTTTCTCAGACTACCTGAACTTTGAAATACGAAGTTTCCATAGTTGGGAGAAATCTGTCTTTGTGAAAATTCTTCGACTCTTGGACCCCTCGAACATCCACTCTTGACGAGAGAGCGCTATGAAGGAGAGTACGGAGAACGAGCGGACAAGCCCTCCTCTCGCTGGTGAACGCGAGACGCAGAGATTGCATCACCGCCTGATTCTCTCAACGAGAGAAATTCTGGTTGACAACAGCCCTGTAACCACGAAAACCGCTTTATTTCGCAATAGCGACATGAAAGACATCAAACACATCGATATTTATTAGGGAAGCCTTGACTTTGGATGATAGTACGCAGTGGGAAGGCATCGAGTCGACTGCTTTTTGAATGGTAGACACTGGCATGGCGTTCCCTTCTTCGCTTATTAAGTAAATTTTTCTCCGCTGTTTTCGCAAAGTTTCCTCGAAAAACGCTTTTCGAGCTCTCCCCACATATGCTCTATTGGTTTCAGATCCGATGACTGGCTGGACTTCTCCAGAGGTATGGTTCGCTGTTCGCTGAAGGCTGCCTTCACAACTACTGAGAACTGTTTCAGATCATTACCCTGCTGCAGGATTTATCCTGCTGGCATGTGCCCATAGCAAGACGATATCGAACGTTATGTTCTTGTACTAATCCCCTGTCACTGTGCCGTCAATTCTCAAAGTAGGGCCCATTCCGTTCGAGGAGTAGGCACTGTATACCATCACACTTCCTCCACCATGCTTAGCTGTGGGTAGGGTATATTTGCCTTGAACTTTTCCTCAGATTGGCGTTGCCCACAGCGTATACCATCGCTTCCCAACTATTTGAACTTGCGACGATCTGTAGATGGAACTCTACTGCATTCAGTCGAGGTCCAGTTGAGGTAACAGGGCGCAAACTTCACTCCAGCTCTCCTATTTTTTGAATCAATGAACGGCTTTCTGGTCGGATGCCTCCTCTGAATACCATCACTGTTTAGGGGTCTTCCTACAGTCTGCCGGCAAGGAACGGTGCTACCACTAGCGCTACACTCAACACAATGTTAGCCGCAGTGAGGCGAAAGTCAGCCCTCGACCGAAGTGTGATCCGTCTGTCCTGGGCTGATAAAGCACATCGGAGTCTTTGCGTTCTCAAAGCATTGCAAACAGAGCTTCTGACCTGCTAGCATGGGATAATCGAAGAAATCGTCCAAATTCTCCACGTGGCTACTGCCCTTCTATGCATGCCTTGATTGCACAAGTACTAACGTTGAGCACAGAAGGGAAGCAAAAAATGTAATTATCGCTAACTCCGCAATCAGGAAAAATCGCTTCTGTAGTGGAACCTCCGCGAGTAGTCATCTAATCCCCCCGTTTTGAAGCCAAGAAGTATAAACTGGTTCGGTTTAAGGTGAGGTTTGCATATCAGAATTTTTCTTGAATCCCTCTACTAAGAAAAAAGTTACGATTGAAAAAACGTTTCAACGAAGACTTTTGGCCGCTACTGTGAGTGTCTAGAACTCTGCCAAACCCTTCCTTCAGGACCGCTCTAATGCTAGAAAAAACAATTGGTAACAATCTCTAGAAAGAATTCAAGGTTTTTCCAAAACCCGACAATGTGACATTTAATTGATTTCTAAACGTGAATACGCGTATCCGTCACTGATATCGGAAACTGACATTTTTGACACTTTTGGCCTTTACTGCAGACCACTGCTCGAACAGCAGCGCCAGCTTGTCCAGTCCCCCATGATGGAAATGAAGAATCTGAAAGCACTATCAAAGGAACAGTTCACTAATGCATTGAACACATGCGAAACTTTGGCTTTCAACATTGTCGTGATGTTGTTATTTGAATGATTCAAAGATAATGCATCAACTCCGAAAAAATCCGAAAAAGAAATATATTGTGAGCTCGATCAATGTCTTTTTCTCGCTAGCATTAGTCCAGCGCCGTTACAGGGTCCGCTGTTCTTGTTAAGCGTCTCGTTCTCAATCTAACTACAATATCTTCTGCTGTCACCTTGACCATGGCAAGGTCCTTCCTAATCACTTCACGACACGTCTTTTTTGAGGCTCCTCGTTGTCGCTTTACTTGAGCCTCGAACTACATTGCATCCTTTATGGGCTCCCTTATCGCACGGTTCTCCGGCCTTCTCAGTACGTGTACATACAATCGCAGATGCTGCTCCCTCTTCTTCAGCTAGGCAGGGGCTACTTGCATGACTGTCCTGACTTCTTCGCTTCTAGAACGGTCAACCGCAAGTCCATCACGATATCTCATTTTTGCGGGTTGGAGTTACCTCTGGTGCTTGCCTATAAGCTACCACTCGCTGTCGTGGAACATTATGGGTCTCACTACTAGCCTTTCCTTTGAGCGCCTTGGGGCATCATCGGTCACAGAGAAAGCCAGTGGACTTTCTCCATTCCATCCACACAGCGTTGATTTGAGCGCTCGCAGCCTGATCCATTCTCAAACTGTCAGTTAGGTCATTTCATAGAACTTTATCGATCCACCCTAAAGGCAGTTTACAACTGGCTGTGCTCGCTCTTCGTACCGAGCATCTTGATCTTTCTCTTATTTAGCCGAAGCCCATTTTTTGTCAGGGCTCTCTGTCACTTCTGCAGTTTGTGCTTGAACTCCTCTCTACTCCCCGCTATAGGAGCGATGTCATTAGCGTAGACGATGGTCTTCAATGTCCATCCATTTCATTCGTAATGACATCCAGTGTTAGCAGGAGGAGGATTGACCTCTAACGCAGAGCTGGTCTCTAACGTACTCAACGTACTCGGACTCATCGTACATGTCCTTCACCAGGTGAATCATTGGCTGAAGGAAGTTATGTTCTCAGAGTGCTCTCAAAAGTATTGGTCGCGAGAGTCGGTTGAAAGCCTTCTCCACATTGAGGAAGGCCAAGAAAGAGGGTCTCCGCCTTTCTCGCTTTTTTTTTACATTTCTATATCAGTTATCTAGCTATAAAGACGGCATCCGTTTTAGAACTTACTGCCATGAAGCCGAATTGCTCTTGTGAGTTCAGACGCAGTTCTCAAGCATTTAGTCGACTGGTCGCTAGTAGGATTTCGCCGTGTAAGCAATCAAACTTATTCCTCGGTAGTTAATGCGATCCGTTGCGTTCTCTTCTGCTTAAAGATGGAACCGGTAGTACTGCGCCTCCACGCATCTGAGATTCTTCTTCCGATTGTCACGTTGTTTACGAATTGGGTGAGCCATCTAATTTCTGAACAGGGTGACCATCGTAGGTATTCTCTGAGCGTTTCACAGTTTTGAGAAACGATGTCCTTACGAGCACACAGTCGATTTCCATTTGTTCCACTCCAGTGCTGAAGGTAACCTTCTAAGTCTTCTTTTTTGCTCTGGAAGTGCTGCATACTGCCAGGTCGTGGGTTGACCAACACGGAACGTACCTCCTTCGTTACTGAGTTGTTTTCTTTAACTATCCAGGCTTTATAAAGCTGACGTTTTGGCGGATTCGCCTTCTCCAAAGCCTGGAAAGAACATAACAATTTGTCACTATCCAATCAAACGTCTCCACTCCTAGGTAATTAAAGGAGAACCACTCACCGTAGCTTGGTGGTTTCTTCGAAATCAACAAGCAACCGATGATAACAATCGACCAGTGTCAGCTGGGATAGGTCTTCATTCAAAGTCCCTGCGGGAAGGTCAACTTTATATAAGGCCGCAGCCCCCGCATGATTGCATTCATCAATACGATTCATTTTTGGATCGGTGACTTGTATTCAAAATGCCGTTACGGGGTTTACGCGCTCACATTTGCGTTTCCTGTGCCACTACATCCCGGTGACTTCAAAAACGTTTCCGTCGTGCTTTTGAGTTCGATGACTCTTTCAATCGTTTCATACCATCTATGTGCTCCTTAATCCCCAAGTGGTCTTGCCGTTATAGTCATCACCACAATCACGGCAAGTATCTTGTAGACTACCCCAGACATGGTACCTCCGTGCCAGCTGAGCAGAACACGCAGTTTGAGGTTGTACGTACGTGATCGTATACCCCGTTCCTAACCAGGATCTTCTTTAGATCGAAGGGTGGTACGTTTACAATAGCAACTAAATTTTCCAAACCCGATCTCTTTAGACACTTTTTGATGGAGGCATTGACCTCATCAGAAATGATTGGTAGTACAAAAGGGGTCTTTTTTCAATCGAGATACTACCAGGACTACCACTGTCTGAGGATCACACCGCCAGAAGAAGCTCTACGTGTAGTTGGAAAATTGTAGTGGCCATTCGACAAAGCTGTATCGCGTTTCATTTTAGGCGGCCTTTTTCGCTCATCCTCTCTAGTGCAAACCTACTTAGCGGCGCGGAACATATTCCTAACAAACGCTCGCTTTATGTAAAAAGGGTGAGCTGAGTGATAATGGACAATGATAATTTTATAGCTAGGTTTTCAGTACCACTCCATGGCAATCATATCGCCTTTTACCCTCTTTTGAACGTTCAAGAAGGGAGGCCAATTTAGGGTCGGTTTTTTCCGTGCTAACTTAACGTGCTCTGATTGTGAGTTCAGCAGGCCCAAACACACATCTATTTCTTCCTTAAGCAGTCGTCTATATAGCTGTAGTAAAGTAAAGGCAGGTATTCAAGGGCAGGCACTTCAGTCTTGGCCATAAATGCTATAGAAAGGACAGGTGCCAATCGTTACCCCATGGCCAAGCCCCTAGCCTGAGCGTAATACCTCCCCGAACATTTGAAGATGTTACAACAGAAGCACTCCTTTACAAGTGTCATCAGCTGGGATATGGACAGCCCTCACATAGTTATATCGCTTTCGTGCTGACTAAGAGCACCAAAGATGACCGGAAAGAGTCTATGAAAATGGCATGCGATTCTGTTCAGATGGATGGCTACTGCAACTTTTCGACTACACGAAGAGCTTCATTGGGGGTGTGACCCTCTGACATGGCAGTACCTCGATGGATGGGAAGATTCTTTTTGTACTACCATTTATCTCTGATGAGGTCAGTACCACTATTAGGAAGTGTCTAAAGAGGTCGGGCCTGGAAAATGCGGTTGCTATTGTAAACGTACCACCATTCAATCTGATCAATGCCTGGTTCGAAACAGGCTATACGATCGCATATGTACAACATCTAACTGTGTGGTTAAACAGAGGAAGAGTGAGCTCATGACCTTCTTCACGTGAACGCCTCGCTTTGTAGCGAGCTATGGTCTTACGTTCCCTGGTAGGCGATTCCCTGTGTGAATTTGCATATAAAATCTACTTTTCATCCTAAGCAATAATGAAGTATCTCCTGACACACACTGACTCGCACTTGACACCACTGCTTAGACAAGGAGCGCGCGATATCTGTAAAGAGTCCTGCTTCGAAAAAGACTTGTGTAGAACGTCGATGATTATCTTTTCCATATCCTGGACACTTTGAGAAGCATTGCTTTGACGAGGGGCCAGAACAGTGTCGGTGAGGAGTAGTGCTTTGACGAGAGGCTAGAACAGTGTCGGTCGTGGAGACAGCGGATGTTTGCTTCAACGAACTTCGTCGAAGCAAATCCCCACTCATTGTCAGAGACGGCGTTCGTGCCACTTATGGTAGGTGACAAGAGAGGGTGCAGTGCTTCCCATCAGTCACCATAACTCATTCGATGCCTGTGTGTCGGAGCGATCAGTTTCGTAATGGTGAAGCGGAAGGCTGCGATAGGCTTGTCGTTCAAACATTTTTCGGTCGATGATTACCAACTTCGAACGGCGGCATCAAGCACCACTCGACCGCTGTATTGATCTGTCAACAATGCCTCTTCCCTATTATCGAATCTATAGTTTCTTTAACGCGTTTGGAAGCAGCATGCTTTTACAGCTTATAGGCATAATTTTTTCAGAACTTTCCAGGCATCCTAATAGAATTAGACGATAGGACGGACCGAAGTTCAACAGTAATCCACATTCCCTGATCTACAGCAAGTGTTCTGCCGAAACGAAGAAATTGTTATGAACTAAGAAGCTGTTACTATGAACGCGTAATTTCGAAACCTATTGCAACCGACCAGTAATGGCAGGCTAGAGAGATTCAAAACAGAATAACATCGCAAATTTTACCTTGTAATGGGAGTCTGGGCTAGCGATAACTAACTGACCGCTGGTGCAATCCGAGTTCGAGTAGAATAATCTCATAGATCTCATTTTTCCTACAATCTACCAGATTTTCAACAATAATGGTAATTTTCTGCACTGAAAATCGGTAGAAGAAGAACTGACCTAGATTCACCGAGAAAAGGCTGATATTGGACAGTTTGGTTGAATATGTTACTTTTCCACTGAGAACAGCAATCGGCTCCTCGTTCTGAAGTATACTACAATATTTGCGTTGTTCGGCGGTGAAGGAAAAGGCATGATTTTTAAGCGATGTCGATTTCTCTCTGCCTTGGGAAGTTGATACTAGATGGCACAGGCTGGTAATTGAAAAACGACAAAAGAAAATTTAAGAAAAAAGTAGACAGTTTTTGCAAAAGCCAATGCACATTCCATCTATCTGTTATATTTTCGAATTCTGCTTAATCTTGTTACGAACCCTGCCTCATTCACAGTTGTTTTAACTAGAGCCAGTTGTGCTCGCAATCTCAATACAGCTATTGCTTACGGTCCGTCAGGAGAAGCATACCTTGGATGTCTCCGTCAGCATCAAGTTGTGTTCGTATGCGAATTGTTCCGGCGTGCAGTCAATCAGCGATTCGCGATAGTTCCAAAAAGAATTCACCATTGTCCCTGAACTAACTGATGACAGTTCCCTCCAGCACTCAGTAATCAGTGAAGAAGGAGCTTCAGCAATGTCAAAACGTCTGGGGGATTAGTTACTGTATGGAAACAAGAAAGAAAAGACGAATCCAAATTGCTGACACATCTCACCCTGCTCATCGACAGAATGATTGCTGCTGTCATACGATGAACTCACGACTTCTTCCTCATTCTCAGAGGCTTCATCAGCTCCAGATGTTGAAAGAGACGACTGCGACCGGGACTTGGGCAAATCCTGGAAGAAAAGGTATTAGCAGATGATCATAGTGGAAGCAAGCTCTTCCACACGCAAACTCATAGGGAAGTAGCTCAAAGTAATGCTCTTATCATGTGAAAATCGATCGGGTTCTGGAGTTGTTAGCATGAATTGACATATGAAATTACAGAGACTAGCACCCTCCTATACATCTCGTCTATTTCGAGNACCGCCCTCTTCGTTAGGTAGCACCTATGCGGTAAGGGCCAATGTTGATAGTTAGAGGGTACAGCATGAATTTAATCGAAGGAAATCAGGAGGTGAACCAAGTAGTAAACCTATGTTTGGTGAGGAAAATCGGTCCCTATTTTTTAGAGTGTGATATACCGAATTTAGTGTGGCTGCACATCTAAAGTATATTGAGAGGGCCGCCGTGAACAGCCTGCATTTCCCATATCAGCCCAATGAAGAAAATCTGGAACGTAATTGTAATAATTGTTCTTTCGTCGGAGAATGGACGGTTACTAAAGAGATCTCTCTAGACTCAAGCGAACACTGAAACCACCACCAGCGCGATGGTCTGATATATTCACGAAAGCTCTGAACGAAGGATTACTATGTTCCGTTCCCCTCGAGCAAGGACAATCCATTGATTCACTCTGGCTCGCGACAGGGGACGTTAGTGGCACCTGCTCAGGGAAACAGAGGTTCACGGCACGGCGGGTGCCTGGTGCAGATAGTAGATTACAAGTGGTAGTAATGTGTCACCAGATTTACAGTTTGGTTTGTGGAAGTTATTTTGAGCATTAGTTTTAACGAAAGAATTGCTTAGAACATCTTGTACATACACTAAACATCTGGCGTTCGAGAGGTGTGTGAGGAATGACGTTGATCGATGGAACGCTAAATTCCCCATCAACTCCAGTTTGTGGTAATGCGATATCCTGTAAATTGGTTTTTAGTGAAGAATAATCTTCATGAATATCAAAGGAGTTTGGGTATTATAAATAACCACTGTGGAAAGAGCTGTCGGACGTTCGTGAACTGCTGTGACTGAGATAAGATCGCCGTTCATTTCCACACAAATTTCTGGGGGTGAGTCTGATGCACTCTGAAAGTGAGTAAGAGCCTAACAACGATCTCTCAATCTTCTACAGAAGTTTGCTAATTTGTGACTGATGACCACATCGAACGCTATTTAATTTAGCGTAAAGTTCACTTTCCAATTTAGATACTCTACACAGGAACATCATTTAGGCTTCGAGCAAAAAAATCTTTTTCAATTCCAATTCTCCATTTTCAAGAGGCATTTGGGCGCTAATTCCCAGACGGTCATGCAAGTGGCTTTTTTTAAATTCTACTTCTGTAAAAAAACTGACTTCTGCCTTTCCGATGTCTGTCCTAGATTGGCGATGCGATGCAAATTGTGTCTCAACCTCGGGCTGAAATATCGTACTCATTAGAAACTCATGAATCCACCACAAAAACATCCAATCCCATCAAATCTGAGAAAAAGCTGTAAATGGAGATCCCTTACTTGGTTTCTGCTTCGTATGCATGGTTGTCTAGAAGTGTTTCTTGCCTGGTTCCGTGGCGATACACTTCGTATGCTTAATAGAGATTTAAGAACTGGGAAAAACAAGCATAACCGTTGAAGCACAGCTACCTTGCAGGATTTTTTTGGAGTGTTGAATTGGGCAACCATTGGAGAACCAAGGTGACACCGATTTGCTCGTCGGATTGACAGTGTACCGTTAAGTAACCGGGTGTATGTATAATGTTGTCGACCTAAAAATGAGTCTGATCTAGGCCTCAATTGAAGCATTTCGACCTGATAGGAACTTCCTCGTTGGCCGGCACACGAATTGGTTATGGTTCTACTGAAAAGAAGAAACCAACCTCATCATTTCCGAGGTCATGTACACAAACATTGTTCTTTGAGAACACGATGTCGCCATCCTTCCCAAGCAGGATGTTACTGTCACCTGAATAAAGGCAAACAAGCTACTCCTGGCTGTCATTTCAGTACTGAATGGTACCAAGGTAGTCGTTTGATGGAGCGCATCTTTCCGCATTGCTATCTATATGCCGTTTGTTTCTTTGAAGCCTAGAGAAATGAGACTGAACTACATAAGTGAGCTTTCAAGAGCGATGTAAAGATAATCTTAAATATGTTAAAGCATCGTAGTTCCGAAAGATTTCTTGAACTAAGGTCAAATCACCTGTTTCGCTGGGAGGGACTGGAGTAAAAACAATCGTTTTTGTTTCCGCATAATTGCTATATGAAAAAAAAANAAAAAAAAACACTGGTACGTTACGCAAAGCATCGACCACTCACGAGCACCTTCACGAAGATGTTGTTTTTCAAACTACTCAGGCGAAAAGTTGGAGGGTGAACATGAGGAGATACTTTTTCCGTTGAAACAGAATCGCCAGCAGCTTTTGTAAGCCACTATAACCTCACGTGGGCCGAATGCAAGTGTCATCTTTATTAAAAATTTATCACAGAATTTAGAATAACACTTTGGGGATCGGCTCATCCAGTGCCTTTCCAAAATTGAAGGAGCGAATATAATCAGCCTGTCTTTTGCTATGATGACAAAAGACTGAAAGGTCATCCTATTAGTATCATCTTTCATTTCAGCCGGGCGAACAACAAACAGGAACGGAACTACTCATTGATTCAACAAACTTAGTGCCTCAATGCTTTTGCTAAAAATTGGAATAAATATCATAAAAAGCGCTTGGCTAAGCTATGGTAATGCTAGGGCACACCTAGAAGAAAACCCCCTCTACCTTTGAACGGCGTGGTCACCGAATCTTTATTATCCTACTATATATAACGCGCTAAGTGTGTCTGTTGGTTTGTCTGTGTGTGTGTGTGTGTGTAGTTGTGTTTGACCGGAAATTCATAACTGCGTTCCCCACGAACCGAGAGAGTTCAAATTTGGTAGGACTACAGGCAGCAGGATAGGAACACTAATGGTGGGTAGCGGGGCCAGGCTCCACCAACAGGGGGCGGGGTTTGTGCGAAATAAATGTTTGAGCGGAAATTTACAGCTTCTATCCCCGTGGACCTGAAGCGCCCAAACTTGGTAGGAGTACAGGCGGCAGCATGGGAACACTTATGGTGGGTGGCGGAGCCGGACTGCACCTACAGGGGGCGGGGTTTGTGCGGAAAATCATAACCCCAGTCCTCGGTGACCTAGAACATCCAAATTTGGTAGGAGTCCCCCAGATCGGATGGGAACGCTTATAATTGGTGGCAGGATTGGGCTCTGTCCACAATGGGCGGGGTTTGGGCAGAAATTAATAACTTCTGTCCCCGTGGACCTGAAGCGCTAAAAATTGGTATGAGTACAGGCGGCAGCATGGGAACACTTATGGTGGGTGGCGGAGCCGGACTCTACCCACAGGGAGCGGGGTTTGTGCGGAAAATCATAACTCCAGTCCCCGTGGACCTAAAGGGTCCTAATTTGGTCGGAGTACCTAAGATAGGATGGGAACTCTTATGGTGGGTGGCAGGACCGGATTCCGCCCACAAGGAGCGGGGTTTGTGTGAAAAACTTGGACTTGGACCTAGAGCGTTCGGATTTGGTAGGAGTGCAGGCGGCAGGGTGAGAACGCTTATGGTTAGTGGCAGGACCGGATTCCGCCCACAAGGGGCGGGGTTTATGTGAAAAACTTAAACTTGGACCTAGAACGTTCAAATTTGGCAGGAGTACAGGCGGCGAGATAGCAACACTTATGGTGGGTCGCGAGACCGGACTCCACCCACATGGAGCAGGGTTTGTGCAAAAAATTCAAACTTGGAAAGACAGCGCTCATATTCGATAGAAATACAGGCGGCAGGATGGGAGCGCCTATGTCGGGCGGCAGGACTTAACTCCGCTCACAGGAGGCGAGGCGTGAGCAAAAAAAGTTAATGTAGACTCGAAGCGAAATTTCAAACCAAGGTCGAATAAGTCGCAAATAAATCGGGTTAGACAAACACATAGAGCCTAAGGAAGTCTGTTCATGGCGGATGGGGCGCGCATGGATTGTGTTGAGCGTCTGTGTTCGGCCAGGAACGAATAACTCCTGTTTCCATCTTCCGAAGCCGACAAATTTGATAAAGGTGCAGGCGGGAGGCCATTTCGACATGAGAAGGAGGGGATCCCGGCGTCAGCCGGGCGAGCCGATTTACGCATTGCAAATTTCTCATAGGAAGGAGAGCTCGGCGAAGCCGGGCGTCACCATAAAAAGGAGGGAAGCCAGGCGTTAGCCGGGCGGCCCGACTGGTATTATATAAATTAATAAAAAGCATCTTAATTAGGCTATGGTAATGCTAGGGCACACTTAGAAGAAAACCCCCTTTACATTTGAACGGCCTGGTCACTGAATCTTTACCATATTTGATTTCTTCATATATTTGTGATCTAGTTGTGTGAAAGCGGATTATTGCGATACATTGTGACGAGGTCAACATAAAAATGCTGCGACCTCCTTGATTCTCACCTGACGTGTTTCCAGAACCGCACTTACAACTCTAGGTGGATACTACACTTACAACCAATAGAAGCATGAACCTTTCAAATTGCTGATAGCATCCTGAACCTTCTTGAACAGATCGGTGATGGTGGTCATTGAAGACAACCCATGAAACCTTAAAATTTCATTTGGAAACCTCTGAGTGCACAGGAAGCAGTAAAACATAGCAGCCCTTGATTATGCTATTTTCAATAGTATGACTCGAAAATGAGAAATTATACAAAGTAGGGCATTTTCGCAACTACATGTTAAACTACAATAGATATATTCATGGAAATCGAAAACCTTTCGATTATATGTACATCAGGGCACCTTTCTTCGGATATTTATTCATTTTTACATCCCTTTGGATGTATTTTTAACGACCGCATTGGATAGCAATGATGACAATGCCGAAGACTATTTGTCTGCTTGCGGTTAATGTTAACTGATTGGAAAAGCAACTCTTAAAATCAATGAAGAACGGTCGGAATACATAAATGCTCAGATAGCATTCATGTTCCAGGTCTAAGCTATTAGAAAAGCACTGCACGGTAACTTTTAAGGCGTACGACAGGCTTCCCAATTTTTGAGTGGATGCGACTAGTGAATTCATGCTCCCTTATGAATAGGACTAATAGTGATTCCACTTGTCATTTCAAAGAGGTAAATGACGAATAATAAAATGTCATTGTATTCTCTCGAAGGTGTCCATTTCTTAGTAGTTTTATATACCATAAATAATATACAAATGATGTCCTTTCGAAAAGTTGTCGAAGGAGGGTTAAACAAAAATACTTTTAAAGAAATGATGAAAATGAATAAAACGTAAACAACGTAAACAGAAATCTGATATCATTTTAGAGATATTATTGGGGACAGAAGCATGAATATAGCACGATTAGACCTTGTCCGATAGTAATTATCTTCTGTCTTCTAATTCAAAATGTTTCCCTTTGTTGACTCCAAGTTGTTTTTTCCCAACATTCAGGCTATTCACCTATGTTATACTTTGCGAGACGCTACAGTTCCTAATCTATGGATTATAATACGAGAATCAGACATCGACCGGCGGGTAATTAGTCACATTTTTGATTACTCTGAATAAAAATAGCTGCAGTGAGCCAGTGAAAATGCAGAACTGCTATGAGGTCACTAACCTTTCCAATCCAAGTGCCCTGTCTTCAAGCAGGGAAGAATCAAACGCTACATGAATGACATACTGATAGTGATATAGAATATCACGCCGCAGGGATAATACGCTCGCAGGAATTTAGAGCATCTAGAGATAACTATGATGCATTGCTTTGTTGGTAAACTACAAGTGTTGTAGCGCTACATTTGCCTGATGTGAAGATGTAAAGGCAGAGAGTTGGTCATCGCGGCTTGCAACGGGAGAATGTATCCAGACTGTGCTAAATAATTGAACGCGAAATCGCCTAGTCACCCTAACCAGAGAACCACAAATCCGAGAGAGCGGCTATGAGAAAAAGGATGGGAAGTTTCTAGAAGTAGTCGCTAGTCACCGAGAGCAAGTTCTGGATGGATAAAAATCTTGGGCAAACTTGGGATAGAGCTAGTTACAGAGATCGAAAGAAGAAAAATGAAATCTGTCATGTCAAAAGTAGTGCTGCCAATTAAGGTTCAATACGGTAAGATTGTCATGCAACGGGGTACCACAGTTTTTCGAATATATACTATCATATAAGGTCATTTGAACATTAGTTACGTCATTGCCTAACTTCATTATCATGGCTGCAGTAGAAACTACTCGAAAGTGAAAAGAAACATGAGCAACCTTAATTAACGCGGAAAGTTCAAGAGGCGTCGTTAAAGGGAGATCCGCCGCTTAAAGGCACTGTTCACGAAAAAATGGTTTCGGAGATCTGCACATGGTTTGAATTCGACGCCCCCTCTGATACCATTTGTGCAGGAATGAGGTCGGAAAACGGTCTGGATAGGGCACAGTATGGGGAGGAACAGTGGGGGACGGGAGGCTTCCGCCCCTCGCTAGGCTGACTACGAGTTCTAATTGTCCTTCACCACATTCGCATTGGAGCGAAGTTGTCTGCTTGGGTGTGTTGTCTGCTATTGCAGACATTGCGTCGCCTTCGTGCACTCGCCCGAACACTCCCTTAACCGCCGTTCTTCCAATGTGAAACACGTCCAACCCCCCTTTCCAGCTCTTTTTTGACCCTTTCTATTTTTTTTTGTTCATCGTTTTTTGCGCTTCTTTCGTTGTTACCGCTTTATTCTAGAGTAGTTCTATGAATTCCCGTCAAAAAAGGGCACCCTAAATTTATCGTAAACGGTGCCTTTAAGCCACACGCCCACACTCATTACCACTCTTCAGTTCCGAATGAAAGTCGAATGCGGGAGTTGCATCGAAGGCGCCAGAAGACTCTAA